CTCCCTCTACCCCATCCACTGTAATTCATTTCTCTCCTTGTTTATTTTCCCATTCCCCTCACAACCTCTTTATGTAATTTTGTATAACAATGAGGGTCTCCCTCCATTTCTATGCAATTTCCCTTTTCTCTCCCTTTCCCTCCCACCTCATGTCTCTGTTTAATGTTAATCTTTTCTTCCTGCTCTTCCTCCCTGCTCTGTTCTTAGTTGCTCTCATTATATCAAAGAAGACATTTGGTATTTGTTTTTTAGGGATTGGCTAGAAAACTTTAAGTAGTGAAAAGCAAGGAAAAATACAAGGAGCAAGGCTTTTTGACAATGCTTCTTCCATTACCTATATCAGATTGCTTTGTATCAAAGTTTCAGTTTAAAGTCTGCCTGCTCTAAGTGCTTTGGTGGTTTATGAATTACTGTTATAGTTTTTATTATAATTATCTGTGAAGCAACCACATTTCATGGCCTTTATGAGAGTTGTTTTAAGTTATCTGGGTAAGTATTATTCTGAAGTATCATTTCTTTTAGAGCCTTTCTTTTTTCAAATTATTATCAAATACCTTATCATTAATATGCCTTTCAGAAATATTCTGGTAGAAGATTTTATTTAGAGTTGAGTATTAGAGAGGCAGAGTAAATGTTCTTATATTTACAGGACCATCCATCAAAAGAGAAGAGAGACCTACTAACAAAGGTCCTTACCCTCACTTTTCTTGTTTTTTGAAAAATATGAATGAATTCAGTTCATTTCACGTAGTTTTGCCCAATTTTTTGTTTTAGAATTGTGAGATTTCCTTGATAAAGACATAGCATGGTAAGCACTGTTGAAACTAGCTCTGCACTGCATTTTAATGTTTGCATTACTGCATCATAGTTACGTAGTAGTAGTAGAGTTCATTCTGACATCATATACACATGGAATACAGTTTGCTCCGTTACAATCCCCAGTGCTTCTACTTTCCCTCCTCCTGTTCCTTTCCTCTACTCTACTGGTCTTTCTTCTAGTTATAGTTTTTTTTTTAAATCAATTCTTTACAATAAAGGTGAAATTCACTATTATATTCATAAATGTAATTCCATTCTGCTATTCCTGCCTTTTCCTGTCCTTCCTCCCTCCCCCTGCTACACTGATCTGCCTTCTACATACTACACTTTCTTAGATCTCTGAATCCCCTCATACCAATTGTCATGGTATAGGGGTTCAATATACCCTTATTCAGTTCATAATGAAAATTCACTGATTCATTTTGAACCTAGAGGGCTTCTCCAAAATTGTTTACTCTTTTTTTTTAAGTTGTAGATGAACACACAGTATTTTTGTTAATTTTTATGTGGTGCTGACGTTCGAACCCAGTGCCTCACACATGCGAGGCAAGTGCTTTACTACTGAGCTACTACTCTTCTTATCCTAAGGATCCTCTGGCCAATAAGTGTGTCATTCATGATTAGATATTTCTGTATGTAAGTTACATATTGCTATCATGCTCAATTCATAGCTTAGACATTTATTTAATGCCAGCTATGCTGAAAACACTGTACTCAGGCCACCTGACCCCTGCCCTCTGAGAGTTTACAAAAGCCCCAGGGTCACATAATTAGATGACTTTATGGCAGGGCTCTTAATTGAGAAAGAGGAAACTTTCCCTCAAAATCAACTTCCTTCTTATGCACAATTCGAGGACCTACTTTCCTCCCAGTTTTTCCTGGAAGTTTCTATAATGCTTTTGCGTAGCAACTGGCTGTTATTCAAACCTGCAAAGCTTAGAGATGCTTTCAACCCTGTCTTCTCACTACCCTCTGTTCCTTTCAACTCTGAGACAAGGAGACCTACCATTAGGAACACATCTTAGGAACAGGCAGAGTGGTTTTGTTTGTTTTGATTCTGGCACACATCATTTTGTGGCTTTTCTGTTGAAAAGTAGCAGTTAAACATGATGCTTCATTCCTGCATTTGAAAACCTATTAGGGGGTTAGAAAAGGGGTATCTCAAAGTAAATTCACATATTTCAAAGGAGCTGTAGGGATTTTTTTTTTTTTTTTTAGATGAGGAGTCATTTTCTTTTAAGCTTGTCAGCTACTAGAGTGCTTAAGTAAATGCAAATCCTGCAATATGAGACTTGAGGGCATCACCCACCCAGGTGTGAGATGGTGGGGAATGGCTGAAAGGAACCCCTATCCCAAGAATCAATTATTTAAAATGCATCAAAAATAAGCTGCAATTTACCTTTTTAAAAGTTTACAGACTTTAGAAGTAATTTGAGATTTGCTATTTGTAGATGGGAATCCAACCAAATTTAACTGCTGTGTTTTTTTGTTTTTTGTTTTTAAAGAGAGAGAGAATATCGTTTTATATATATATTTATTTATTTATTTATTTATTTATTTTTTAGTTATTGGCGGACACAACATCTTTGTTTGTATGTGGTGCTGAGCATCGAACCTGGGCCGCACGCATGCCAGGCGAGCGTGCTATCACTTGAGCCACATCCCCAGCCCAAACTGCTGTGTTTTAATCCAGGTGTTTTGCCTGGTTTTCCTGCTGCCTGACCAATCTGAGATCTACACTCCCTCTCTGTTCCTCCAATTTGTAAAATCAGGGAGGGAGCATCCATCAGGGGCCCTCACCAATCTTCCAGCCTTCTATAGCCGCTCTGAAGAGCTAGGAACTTGTGCTTCTTAGAAGAGCTGTCCCCCACCCAGGGACTGCTGTCCAGTTTCTTCCCACCTCTTGCTCCGTACATTCAAGATCCTCAAACCTCAATGACTCATGCTACACCCAACCCTTACCTTTGATAAGGATGAGCCATCAGATCGAAGAGCTGTCAGGAAGGCAGCTCCCACGCTGATGAAGTTGTTTCCATAGCACTAAGATGAAACTAAGAATTTACTCACAGTCCTTTTTACTTTATCTTGCAGAGTGGTGCCATTACTTTTATGCACTAATGGTGCTCCGCATGTTTCCATTGTTTTTCTATTGGAATGAGGAAGTGTTCCATGCACAGTCTAATGGATATTCAGAGGAAATGCATTATGAACCAGAGTCACTCCTAAAAGGGGTTTTACTGGAAAGAAATGGATTTTAGCCCTGCAACATCACTCAAAAAGAAAACTTAACAGTACAGTTAGTCATAAAACCTGATGCTTTCCTTGCAAAAGTAAAAATGTATATAAAGTTGGTCTCATAGATTTAGTGTAATTTTAAGATTTTTTTCTTATTATAAATCAAAGGAATGAGAGGACTTTTGTAATCGTTATTTCTAGCTTTCTCATGTTACAAAAATCAAAAGTCCTAAAGAGGGTCCCTAGTAACTGCAACCTGACATAGTGCAAACTCCAGAATTTAGGATCCATTTTTCAATCTCAACTCCTATTTCCAGTCCACCTCATTGCCTTTCTTGGAAGATTTCTTTCTACCCCTTCACACCTTACTAGCCTATGGCTTCTCTGTGAAATATCCTTTGTCTGTTACTCAAAAGAATTAAATGAAGCAACTTGTAGAATAACTGATTAGCAATAAGCCCAAGTGGAAGCTCTGGGTCACCAGAGCCTACAGTATGAGCAAGAAAGAGGACAATGTCTGTCCTGACCAGGACTTTATCAGCTTCCAGGATTTTTTTTTTTTTTTGAAGATTTTAATCAAGAAAGCAAGCGAATGGATACACCATTCATCTGCTGCAGTTTCCACAGTTACTGAAATGCTTTCATCCTTTATGTTTGTGCCATCCACTTGAATTGCAGTATACTTAAATTTCAAACACAATCAGGACAGCACAGGGTCTTTGTCAATTCATCGAAGTGTGCTAACAAGCGTACAAACTGCTCAGTTACTCTGGGAGGCTATAAACTCCAAATCTACTCAGACATTTCAGCCATGGATATGTGCCCTTACCAAAGTACCCAGCCAGAAATACCAAGTGAGCTTGCAAAGGGCAGGATTAACCTTGGCCTTCTGGCATTTTCCTTCTCTCTAGGGAAATGAAGAACATAGAACAATTGCAATAAAGACTGGGAGAATCAGCACCTCAGACTTAAAAAAAGTTGAATAAAAAAGTTTCTTGATGCAGCAGGACAGAATTCAGTACAGAAAAGATCAGTAGTCTCTCCTTCATATTTAAGTATTATTCCCTGACTCAGATGCTTTGAAAAGGCACATATTCAAGAAAAGTACTCTTTTGAGTACTAAGTACTAAATAAAGCTTACCATGATCCTCAAGAGGAAGAATATGACCTTCAGCAAAGTTGCAAAGAATTCTGCCCTGGGATTTATCAATTGCTTCTTTGTCATTTGTTTTTCTAAACAGGTGAAAAACGCAGCTGCCAATGTACTCAGGGAAACATGGCTAATTTACAAAAATACAAAGCTAGTAAAAAAGATAGATCATGCAAAAGTAAGAAAACATCAACGAAAATTCTTGCAAGCTATTCATCAGTAAGTACCACTTTCATCTTTTTTTTTTTTAATCTTTGGCATGATTCTTGCACTTAGTTATTCTTTTTTCATGAGGAATGATAAAACATTGTCAGGTTTCTTCCCCCAAAAGACATCTGCTGGCATTTTAATAATACCATCACTGAAATCCTGGGAAAAAAGTTTTAGTTCCTTTTATGATTAATAATAATTTATTAGTAGAATAGCCACTCATTCAAATGTCTTCTCAGTTTCTCTTTAGAATCAATAATTTCTGTTAAAACGTGTTTCTTAATTTTATGTAGTTATTCATACAATTTGCTGCAGGATGCTAAGCTTGTGTCTACTGCAATAGACATTATATGATCTATCTGGATTTTCAACATATTGTCAAAGCTCTTTATATCACTACAGTGTAGATAATTGTTTAATACTTGAATATTTAATGAATTCTTAATCAGAAATTTGGGGATTATTTATATGCTACATGTTCATTAGAGACTTTAAAGTTCCTATGGTTTCTGTGGTTCTGTATCATTATTCTGACTTTATTCAGGATACCATTATTCACTTTAAGTCCTTCATGCCATTTCACTACTATATCATATAGCTGTGATAGACTTTGAAGGCAAAACTCTGTACCTCGTAAGATTCGATGATAATTTGGAAACCCAGGGTCTCTCTCCTCCAGGCTGACAGCATCTTCACCGTAAGTACGACTCAGTGGGGCCCGACTCTGATGCTCTGCAGACTTGCTGTTAACATAATGCCCTTTCTGCATGGGGAAGTGCACACAGGGTCACAGTTATGGCTCAAAAAAGTGACTTCCTCATGAAACCTACACCAGGGTAATCATGGAAAGGATGGTAAATACTAGGCCTTTTGGCTATATATACCATGAGAAACAGACAAGAAAGCTCTAAAGCTGGCATTTTTATTTTACATATTTAGTTAATTCATACATAACATTCTCTGAAGAATCACTAAGCTTTCATTTCCCACCCTTTCACCTATCCATCCAACTGCCCTGCTTACATCGTGATCCTTAAAAATAATAGAGATTATGTCTGTGTTTATGCACATGTGTGTACTTGTTTGGTAGATTCTGCCTGCCTTAATGAACATAAAACTGAAGTACTCGTCTGAGATTTGAAGTAGAGGGAACTGCACATATGGTAGCGTAGCTGGTTCTCATTACTATTCACAGCTACTCACTCATGCTTCTTCCCTTATTGCCACCAACACACTTTCTAAAAGAGGATGATATTTCTCCTTCAGCTCTGTGACTTGACTAGACACACAACTATGCCTTTCCCTTATTGTAAGGAAAAAACAGGGCTGGAATTTTAAGACTTCAAGTCAGAGGGAAAACACAGAGAAGAACTTACATTAGATCTGGCTCACAAGAGAGCTCCCCAGGTTCAGTTGCTTACTAAGCTAGAGCTGCCACCTAGCAGTGCATAGCTAGACATCTGGACTCCTTGAAGTCTAGACCTAAGAGATGGAACCCCCAAGAGACGCTGAGCTCCCTCCTCTGTCAGAGGATAGACCTCCTCCCCAAAGGACTCACCAGGCACGACTGTTAGTCATGTCCACCTAAAACCACACAACCCAGTAACCCCAGCATTCACACAAGGGCTTCACATGGAGATTTCTTTTTACTACTTGATACTCACCTATTTGAGTACATTAAAAAAAAACTTATCTTTGTATGTATGAGAAGATATGTGTCCAGGGATGTGAGATGACATGGGATCAAGTATGTGTGGTTGGTCTGTGTGTTAAGTGAAAATCCCTTTCCTTCAGGATTTTGTGTTCCATTCTGTTGTGTAACCTATTAAATGTGATCTGGCTTTGATGCTGTTGATATTTTCAAATAACAAATCCACAAAAACTGCTGCAACAGTTTTTGTAAAATGTTATATATTGTCATAGGCTTTGAATGTTGAGTACTCTTCACAGAAAAACTTGGGAGAATATATGGATATTGATTGTAAAATTCTTTTTCAACTTTGTGTAAGTTTGAAAAATTTTTTATAATAAAATATTTTTTTAAAGTTCTTCAGGGAAGCTAATTTTAGGAAGTAGCACATCTACCCTCTCTTAAGGGTGCTGTGCTAATTAGAGCCCTTTAGCAAGATACTTTGGGTAGAGTGATAGAGGAATCCCTGTGATTCTGCTCCTGCAGGCATTTCTCATTCTTTCTGTTCTAGAGATAAGCTTCTGTCAATTCAAATATGTTCTGATTTGTGCGAATTAGCTTGGTGGTTATTGGTTGTCCTATGCTTTGGGGAAAAGTACATTTACAAAGGGGTTGGGTTACCTTATTCTAATACCTTATTCTAATCATAAATAATCAGTTTTCATTTTAATTTTGTATTAGAAGTTGGGGAGTGAAGTCACAAAGGAAAGCACACAGGGCTCGATTCCTCAGGGCGTGGCCTTCACTGCCCACAGTCCAGATCCAGTGAGACCTGCAGCCTCATCAGTCCACACTGGGTGAAATCAGATCTTACTAGTTGAAGAAAAAAAAATTAAATTCATTTGATGGAGCTCTCCTGGCCTCTCCTAGTTTCTGAGTTGCCCCGAGAGCTTTTTCAGAAGCTCTTCCACCTTCTGCTTGTTCCCCTCTAGCTCAACTCTTTCTCTTTTCCAAACTTTATGGCCTCTCTACTCCAGCATATGACCACTCTTGTCTCGGATGGATGATGAACTCTCCCAGTTCCTCCCCTTGTTTTAATCACTCTTCAGTATCTCTCTTGGATTTTTCACTTGGTGCTATGAAATGTTCTCTTTGTCTTTTAACCCTTTTCCTGGTAGCAGCTTTAAATTTTTCATTCTTCTACCTTGACCATGGATCCATCCATCAACTTGGACTTGTCTTGGAGACAAAAATATCCAGTGTACATGATTTACACAACAGAGGGGCTCCTGAATAGCTCCAATTTGGAAAAGATCTATTCCCCTCTGGGGAAAAAGGAATCACATTATAATGTCATTGTCCCTTTAACCATATCCTATTAGGCAAAAAATGTTTTCTATCACTTATTTGAACAACGAGTAGCAAGAGGCCAAGCTGACCTTATGCATGCTCTTCCTTCTGAACTCTGATTCAAGAGGAAGTCATGCACTTTCAGGTGGGGGAATTATGGTAGTGATGAAGAAGGATGGTGATGTAATTGAATAGTGTTTTTCTCTTTGGCCAGTATGTCCAAATCCTACAGAATCATAACAGGATCTTCCAGCTAATGAATCGAGCCCCCTGTGCACAACTGAACACCTCATTGTATTATTTTGTTCCAGAATATTTTACAGTTTCTTTTCTTTTGTTTTGTCTTTTTATTTCAACAAAATGAAAATAGAGCTCGGAAGTAAGTTGTGTGAGCCGCTCCTTTCAACATTTGCAGAATTTTCTACTGGCTGCATGCACCCAGCGGATCCTTTATTTGTGAATTTTAGTAGTCTGATTGCTGCTATGGAAATGTGATCCAAAATCATGATATTTTCCTGTGATAAGTGAAGTTCACAAGGAAGAAATCAACATGTTTCTTATTCTTTTTTTTGTGGGGACAAAAAGTATAATACATATCTGCATGTTACCTTTTATTCTGGCAGCTGCAGCTTAAGCAGGTCTTTTTCCAACTGCTCTCCTACATTACAGGCTGCATAAAAAGCAGACAAGATAATTTAAGTTCAGAAAGCTAAAGGAATTCCAATCAAACAGGGCTACTCTATTTTCAGCTTTCCAGATTAGCAAAAAATAAAATGGGCAAAATTCTACTGTCAGACATACTTTAGTAATACAAGAGAAGTAAATTAGGCTCCATTGACTTAAGATGAAATGCCCACTTCAGCTAAGGAGCCACCACCCACCTGATTTTCAGAGTTCAAGATGACTTCTATTGGAGATTGCTGGAGGCATCTAGTCTAAAGCCCCAAACTCTAGTCTACCTGTACTATTACTTAAAAGAAAACTTGATATGAATCCTATTGTAGGGCTGTGATGTAGCTCAGTGGTAGAGCACCTAACTGGCATGCATGAGGCCCTGGGTTCAATCTTCAGCATTACACACACAAAATCTCTATCATTTAAACACACACACACACACACACACACACACACACACACAGAGCAAAGAGAGGTAAAGGTATAATCAATTGGCAATTGAAATTCTAGTATTAGTTTCCAGCCATGGGCTAGAAATCTCTGAGCAGGTATCAGGCCATTAGGACGGGACAGGACCAGCCTCAGACATTTATCTTGCCATAATCAAGACCTGGAAGAGAATTAAAGAGAATAACTGTCTCTCCCCCTGTTTTAATATTGTTTAAGTGTTACTTAAAGTCATCTATTAACAACTCTGTTGGTATAAATCCAACACTCCAGGAACGCTATTCTCATCTAACATATTTCATTTCATACATGAAGAAACTGGAGGTCAAATTAGAGCCAGTGAGGACAGAGCCCCCATCTGACATAGCTGCTTTCTCCAGCTTCTCTGTAATGACCCATAGATATTTAAAGTGGTTTTGTTTTTCTGCTTCTTTTAAAAGGTTTACATCAAGAATTGTATCAAACCTTTCTCAATCATATATTGGATTTAAGTACATTTGTAAATTTCTCTTAGACTAGAACTTTATTCCATGTCTATAATGCACAAAGCCAGTGAACTTTGTTCCAAGCATTCTAATAAACACAGTCTCAATGACAAGTTATAAATTTAAACTGTTTTAGATTGTTAAAGATTGTGTTGGAGGTAGGTGTCAGTCAAACTTGCTGGCAGAGGAACCAGATCTTCACTGCAAAGCAGATTTGCTGACATATTGAGTATCCAGGCTTCAGAACAAAATCACTGAGCATGATGAACACGTGCTACAAAAATCTCCCTGGCAGTAAAATCTTGCCCTGTGAATTGTTATTCCTGCCATGTAATTACTATACCTTAAATTGAAAAATAGCAAAATGCTTTCTTGAGCATTAAAACTCTACTTTGTAAAGTGATCTATCATCAAGCAAAATAAGGATGATGTGGATCCCCCTGCCCCCATTTTCATGAAGTAGCATAGAAGGACCCATTTCCCTTTTTGGAGCAAGGCTTTGAAATGTTTGCTTAAAGAACAATAAATCACTTTTCCTCTTGGAAAAGAATATTAATTTCTTGGACATAGTAAACACAGAATAAGTCTTTGTTATAATACAATAAATAAAGAATAGTCATTTCTCATTGAGAAGGATAGTTTTTTGAAAGAGTGGCCTTTTGACTTGATACATACAATGATATTTTAAAGTAGTTGAAAGTAACCTTACAAATAGAGAGTCTATCCAGCAGATACTTTGTTGTAACTTTTTTATCTACAATAAAAAATTAAGAGAGGTTCTTCCAAGGAAATGGTCTGGCCTCCCTTCAAATTCAATGGCAGTTTAAGATAAACATCTAGTGAAATACAATGAAGAATAAGAGAATTATGTGTTTTGAGTTATCTTGCTGCTGGTTGAATAAAAGTTTTATTTTTGTTAATAAGAATCTCACTTATCACTGTGTTTTCATCAGGTTCAAATACCTAACCCAATTCATTTCAGACTAAACAGGGTTAATACCTGTATCTAGTCACGTAGGCATAGGAAGGTGCTCATTGCTCCAACATTGTTGAAATTCCAGTTGCTTTGCATATTTCTTCCTATGTCTATTTGTCACGATACTGGGGCTTTAAGGAATGTTTTGGCTTTTTCTCATATGGTTAAATCCTTATGAGCCTTTCTGAATTCAACTTACCTGGTAATAGTTGTCCTGAGGACATCTCATCTCTTGCTCTCTCCTTTCTTTTTTGCCGTGTTGGGGAAGCATGCTTCTCATTGTACCAGACACATAACCAGTATGGTCTTTACCCCCAAATACAAGGCATTATCCATGCAGTTATTTGCTCTTGTCAATTTTGTGCATGCTCTTGGGAAGCCATAAGATACCTCAAGAAAGAAGAGAACTTTTCTGACTTCACATTCTGTCTTTTAGATTAAGAAGTGTGAAAATGGAGCAGAGGAAGCTAAATGACCAAGCAAATACCTTGGTGGATCTGGCAAAGGTAAGCCTCAGGGTACTTGGCCCTCACAGTCCCATCTCTTGACTACTATGCAATCATTAGTAATACTTTGCAAGGATCCTACCACAAATTTAATTAATTCATCAAACCAACAAACCACTCAGAATTGAAGGTCCATCATCGTAAAAGCACTCTTCTAAAACTTTTATTTAATACGCTCTCTTTCCATATACATTATTCAACCCCCATTCTAAAGTCTTCCCTACTTGTAGTGAATTTAGAGGCACCATAGTTTCACAAGTGAAAACGAAGACATCTGTAATTCTTAAACCTCTTCTCTGAGAGCAGAATTTCATCTCACATGTGACTATGAGGTTCAGGGTTAAATAGAACTCAACAATAAAATTTTATATATTTTAAACAAACTCCTAAGAATGTAAAATTGAAACTAAAAAGACTTCCAAAAATTGCATCCTAAAAGTTAAAAAATGGACCTTTTTATGGGTCTTTCTACATCACATTATATCAATCATACTTTTTAAAAAGTATGTTAATAATTATCTAGTCTTTCTATTCCATTTAAAAGATTTATCTGAATTTTTAATTGTTCTTCCCCCAGTAAAATCCACTCTCAAAAAATGAATATCAATAATCAATACACTGTATCCTTTTGAGGTAATTCTAAAAGAGATAATAGAATAACATGCATTTTTAGCCTTTTACCACAAATGCTTTGAAATAGGCAACTTTCGATTAGATCTGTATGTTCTGTTTTACATTTGACAATCAGCTATGTTCTTTCTATAGCCTTAAGTATAATCTTTAACAATTACACCTTTGGCCTCATGTCACTAAATAATGCATCTAAATTATATTCCTTTTCATGTATATCAGTAGCACCTACTATAAGTAGGTGAACATAAGTGAGGTATTTAACTTACCTGGGGAGAGCAAGCTTGTAATTAAGCTGGGTGGCACAGAGTGGCAGGTAGAAAGACATCGTTGATTAATATTGCCCTCCTTTGGGGCAGGTTCTTGCATCACTCCTAGGTTAAATGATAAAAACTGGGTATTCTTTAAATACATAAATAAAATAGACCCTTCAGAAATGTGACATAGAGAAGTAATTGGACTTCAAGAGTACATCTATAAGGCAAGATGTCATTTCCAATTATTTCATTAGTGCCATTCTTATGATGACAGGACCATACATGCCATAGGATTCAGAATTTCTTGATCAAATGGATAGTGTTCACTTGTATGCAGTGAAAATACAGCTAAGGTAGGCTGTCTCCACAGCAGAACTAAACAAGGTGTCTGTGTTCTGAATAGTTCCCCCATTTAATGGGGTTCATTTATCATCTTTAAGAGGTTGTTAAGCAAGATAAGAAGATATATTGTAAGGTGAGATGAAGCAAAAGGAAGGAAGATTAGGACAGAGGATTAACAGACAAGTTTAACATCTCTGTCCTTTCCTCTGAGGTGATCAACCCTGGAGTCCCATCTCTTGGCTACATCAGAAAATATAAGTAGGAATCAGACTTATGAATTGAATACTTAGCTCCAATTAAGACATTCCCACAGGTAGACTGGCAACTTCAGTATCTCCCTGAACTTTTATTTTGAGAATTTATTATTTATTCTAAATTTTTCTGTAAAAAAATCTATTTGAAATCAATGAAGAGTGGTCTATGATTTGGACCACAAGACAACAAAATGTATTTAGGAATTTATTGCTTTAATTTACTAAATCACTTCTTCAGATAAATCCTCAGCTTTATCTATATTCCACCCTCAAAATCTTTTTACATTCCAAATCATCTGTACTTTTATAATTCCTTAAATCTGCTAGTCTTTTGAAAGATTGGCCTTGCCTTATTAAAATGCATTTGATGTGCTAACTTTTGTGACAACCCTTAAAACACACCCATAAATTTGAAACAATTTCATCTGTCTTCACACCACCTAAAATCATAGTCTGTAGCTACACTACATTTTCTGAAACTGAACCAAATTAATTGTCTAATTAATTTAACAAATTTCAATATGAATGTTTTCAATGTTAATCAATTTCTAAATCTCAGCATTGAGCAACATATGGAATTTTCTTTGCAAAGTAACCATTCAGTTCAGTGACACCTTGTTACACCAGATGTCACCACCAAGAGACCAACCCTAAAGCTCCAGGACTTTGCAGATTACTTCTAGGGCAAGTCTATAAGCCTCTTAGTTATGTTTCTAATTTCTTTTCCATCCTGTTTTTCAGACCCAGAATATCATGTATGACATGATTTCCGACTTAAATGAAAGGAGCGAAGACTTTGAGAAGAGGATTGTTACCCTGGAAACCAAATTAGAGACTTTGATTGGCAGCATCCACGCCCTCCCTGGGCTCCTCAGCCAGACCATCAGACAGCAGCAGAGAGACTTCATTGAGGCTCAGATGGAGAACTACGACAAGCACGTCACCTACAACGCTGAACGGTCCCGGTCCTCGTCCAGGAGGCGGCGGTCCTCCTCTACAGCACCACCAACTTCATCAGAGAGTAGCTAGAAGAGAATAAGTTAACCACAAAATAAGACTTTTTGCCATCATATGGTCAATATTTTAGCTTTTATTGTAAAGCCCCTATGGTTCTAATCAGCGTTATCCGGGTTCTGTTGTCAGAATCCTGGGAACCTGAACACTAAGTTTTAGGCCAAAATGAGTGAAAACTCTTTTCTTTTTTTCTTTCAGATGCACAGGGAATGCACCTATTATTGCTATATAGATTGTTCCTCCTGTAATTTCACTAACTTTTTATTCATGCACTTCAAACAAACTTTACTACTACATTATATGATATATAATAAAAAAGTTAATTTCTGCACATACTTGTTTGGTCACTTGACATTTCTGAAGCTTCACATCTTTAGAAGGTAAAATGATTATCTCTGATGCATGCTGACAATTTTTATTTCTAAAAGTTGGGCTGGTTTGAGGGGGTGAAAAAGGACTTTCAATCCTTCCATATCTTCTTCATGAAAGTTTTCCATATTAGAACCACAGTCATTTGGCCCAACCCAGCTTCTTTCTTCTTATTCTTGAGTTTATAGTGTCTCACTTTTAATACAGTTTTCATCCAAATGATATGGAAAGTCAGGCCATTTTATCAGAACATATTCAATCAAAGGGCAGAGATGCTTGCAATAATTATTTTATTCCTAGTTTATCAGCAAATTTATATGAAGAAATATCAGTACATTGCTATCTGGAATTCATGTTACTGAATTGTACGTCTAAATTGATGAGTTCATATCTTGCCATGTATTCATTTATTACAAAGGACCCAGGATGCTCTCCAAGTACTTGGAGGTACATGTGATCTTTATATTTACACATTTGCATACATCAGCATCATAAACATACATGAGCATAACACATTCTAGCATATGGTTCCTTTTTGGTCTGCACTTACATATTGGTACAAGTAAGTGGCATATGGTAAATTTCACAAATTTTCATACTTGGTCAGTCATGGTTGGTTTGTTGGTGTAAAAGGGAACTGGGGCATTATTGCTTTTGCAAATTTACTCAAGAATCCAGTAAATTTGGGAGAACCATGTTGAGGTGAGAGCCATGTGGAAATTCCTAACATTATGGTGTTTCTTCAGAGTCTACAGAAAGAGCTGATCTGTGGTACTGTGCTAAGGTTAATGCATCCTAACATTTGGGCAGCTCTTAGGGAAACCAGCTTGCATTGGTCTAAACCTAAAGAACTATTCCTCCTTCATGTTCAGAAAAACCCGTTTAAGCAGCTTGTGTATTCTATTTTATAACTTGACCTTTTGCTGTCAATCTTAAAACAGTGCAAACTGCTAGCATTATCAAGTATTTTATTCTTTAGCACAAATGAATGATATATTTAATCCACTCTGCTCAGTTTAATGGAGAAAATCATTTTCCCAACTATTCCTCATACTGGTGTACAAATCAAACAAACATTTCAAGATCAAGGATATAAACTGTAATTGCTTTTGAATGCATGAGAAGTTCTTACCATTTACGAGGTATCCAGAGTGGCTGAAACTCATGCTCATTCAAATACTTTGTGTTGGATAAGGACAAGGCCTGGAAAGTCTCTTAATAATAAGTAAAAGAAAAATAATCAGAACACTGCTTATAGATTCATATCGCTGGGTTAAAGGAACATCCAAGTCCTGCTTCATCAGAATTTCTACTTCATTATCCAGTGAAAATTTCCTTTTATATATTTTGGGTCACATATAAGAATATATCAAGTATTTGGTGCAAACATTGGAGGTAAAGAAGAGAGAAATTATGAAAGGAATAATTTGTTGTTATAATTGATGCAGCTAATTCTTACATATTCAGTCTCTGTTGTGACTAAAAAGCAAAGCATACATAGGTAAGCTTAATTATCATCTTACTGATCAATTAGCACTATCACCCAAGGACACTAACAAAGAATAATATGTTCCTCCTCTTGTTGAGCAAGAGAAAAAAGAATTTTTTTTTATTTAGATTTCACTACCTTGCATTTATTCTCTTCCTCTTAATTGTAGCTCATTTAGGACAAGGTATTCTTTTGTCCTTCACAATTTATCTTACTTTTTCTGTTTCTCTATGCATAAGCATATGAAGACTTGTAAATACGCCTTTCATTTCTGTTTTTAAAATGTGAAATAATACAATTTGAAAGAGAAGGAAGAAGAGATCATCACATAGAAATTCTGGTCAGCAATTTGCTGAATAAACTCCACTTTAAAGTTATCAAGTCTTCCAAGCAGCCTTGAGCATTAGGCAGAATCTTCTGAGGGCTACTTAGATGACTGCTCACTTGTAGTGGTATATGCCTTTCTCTTATGTGCAATTTGTTTTTCAAACTACCTAATAATAATTGAGTTCTGTTTGTCTCCTGTTGGCCTGCCACACAGCCAACCCAAGCCAAATTGCTTTCACAGACCATTTTAAATTACAATGGTACCCCCTTCCTCAACAACTTTCTTCATTTCCCTATTTATACACAGCGTCTAAGTCTGTAGCAAGAAGGCCCCATGCTCTGAAAGAAGATAAACCAGATGTATAATGGGTGTTAAATTTTGGAAACTTCTTGTGTTTTCTTCCCTACTTTCTGCTGTCTTTGTGGTTATTTTTCCAAGAGGCTCTCCACCAGAAATATCTGTGATAACCAAATCATCCTGTTTGTAAACAGAGTTGGGAGACAGAGTTGGGAATTGGGAGACAAAAACCATTGGCTAAGGTTAATATGAAGCTTTAAGAGATGAATTAAAATTCTAGACTTCTATCTTTTAACTCTGCCTAGTCTTGACAAATAGCATGGCAAGATGAAAAAAAAAAAAAAAAAGAGTCAGACCAGGGTATAGAACTTCACTCTGCCACTCATCAGCTCTGTGCACGTGAACAACATTAATCCATCTGAGCCTTTCCTCCTTACCCATAAAGAGTGTAAAAAAAAAAAAAAAATCACAGATACCACAGGGCTCTGCAAAGCCTAGCATCCGTCTTACCAAAGGATGGTAGTTATTTTTCATTACTATTTCAGTGTCAGGCAGCACACACATCAACACTTCCACTATCTGCTTATCTTATCACTCTTCACATCCAGCAGTATAAATTTCCACCTTCACCTATCTAGTTGATTGTTGAAACAAGTTACTGGACTTTGGATTAGCTCATTCATTTCTTGGTGCTACCAGTGCTTTTTTGCTTCATGTAACCTAGAGTATCAGTACTTCGTCCTTGTGGTTGTGACGGACTCTCTTCTACTTCCTTACCATTTCCACAAAATCTGTTCAAACATGACTCGGGATGGAAATGCTGGAAAAGTCACCAAAGACTTGGACCAAAGGGCTTGGTTCCTTTTCCACTTGGTTCCAAATCCACTCTGTACATCCTGGCCGCCACCAACTTCCTGGGTGTATGTAACACACACTGATAATTGTGTGCCTAAACTAAATAATCCAGTCAATCCACTAAGAAAAAAAAATGTTGAAGTGGTCATTTGGCAAACAAAATCCTAGTAGACGTAAGATTGGAGCATCATGGAACAAGCAACATGAAGTGAAGAGCTTCTTCCCATTGTCCCTGCTGAAGTTCCTGAGGAACATGATCTTTTTTCAAGTTGTTAGGCTAGGCAAGAGAACAAAACAAAACAAAACAACTCACCCTGTCCAGGATGCTGCCAGCTCTGCTGTCAGGCAGTGGTCCCAGAAACAGGAAACACAGATTACAGTTTCACAGATGCTCCCAATTTCCTCTTTTAGAAATGCTTAGAATTCCCCACTCCATCCCCAAAATGCCCTTCTGTCCATGTGTTTGTGCTCCCCAGATGGTCATGTGTGTAGTAGGGAGAAGAACTTCAGTGTTTGTGCCCCAGTGTTTGTGCTCCCTAGACGGTCATGTGTGTAGGAGGGAGAAGTACTTCACAACTGGTTAGAGATTACTGGGTTGCTCTTTTTTTTTTTTTTTTTTTTTTTAGCAGTACCAGGAGTAATATACTAGAAACGTTCTTACTTTGGGATCCAGCGCAAAGGTGAATATAAAGGAGACAGTGGTCAGGTAGTGTCCAGGCAGAAAGCTGAACAGAGGGACACCTCCCCAGTTTTTCCACCACTGGTCACCCCTGCTCCTCCTCCGGAAGGCAGCTCAGCTTCTCTCCATAACCCAACTCTTTTCTATTCTGCTGGAGAAATGTGTCATTTAATTCTTAAATTCTGTCAAAAACCCTGTGTCCCTGTGTTCATTTTCACTTTATAGATGAGGACACTGAAGTGAGACCGTCGTTAGACATAGGAAATAAGTTCATGTCTCATGAACCCAATAAATAATTTCCCTTGAGCTTCCTATTATCCACCCCCACCATACACCTATAAACAAGACATTTCTTGTTAGTCAATTTTATCACTTAAAAAAAAAATTGAGGGGCTGGGGTTGTGGCTCAGAGGTAGAGCACTCACCTAATATGCGTGAGGCACTGGGTTCCATCCTCAGAACCACATAAAAATAAAATAAAGATATTGTGTCCACCTATAACTAAAAAATAAATATTTTTTTAAAAGTTTGAGGGCAGTACACCTAGTGCCCTTTGCTAGGGTTTAAAAAAAAAAGAAAAAGAAAGAAACATTTGAGAACTCAAAGGGAAAGTGCACCTGTATCTTGGAATACTGTGGGAGTCACAAGTCAACAGGTCATGGAACAACCGTGGGTTGCCACCACGTACTGAATTCATGCCACTTGATTGCTCTGCTGAAGCTGGGTGGGATGATGAACCCTTAGCCACCCAGGCCCCACACCTCACTCACTAAGGACATTGTAGCCAGTAGGTCTCCTCTAACTGTGGATGAGGGATGATAGGACATACTAAAATAAAGTTGTCTCAACTGCATCTTTGCTGCAAAGGAAGAAACAAAATGACTTTAGTATAAGGTATTTGGTATAATGTGGCCATACTATTCTTAAATGACATGAGTCTGTCTAAAAGACCTGAATTTTTTCTGTGCTGCCTACCTACCAATCCCTGAAGGGTGGGATAGCATAGCCACATGCCTATCTCTGAGTCTTACATATATAAAGGGGTTGTGTGCAATTCCCAGTCATCCTGCAGCCTCTTCCTCTATTTCATTTACTCTCACTTTTGTTTACTCCTTATGGGATTATTAGGTTGAATGTTTGTATCTTTTTGGACTCTGAGAATATAAGTCCAAAATTAATCTAACTTGCTGTTGAATAAGATCATAGTGCCTCAGAGAGGAAGCTAAATGAGCAGATTAAAGGCCTTTATATGAACCAATATTTTTTAGATTGTAAGGCAAAAATATATATTATGAGGACATATTGGCATCCTCTCAAT